AATCATCCGCAGCGAACAAGACTCATGTTACATTATCAGGTGTTATCACCGTTCATTCGCCGTCACGAGAAGAACATGGACGTTTACATCGAACGCTTCGTCTCCGCTATCATTAATCACGGTCCTGATATGGCAATGACGGTAACAGTTTAGCTGGCAATTTTCATTTTCCACATTGCTCAGCACGAAACAAGGCGCCGGTGTGGCAATGGTCCACCTGTGAAGAGATGACGTGTCATTGACGTCAAGTGGCGTGCCAATGGTGTAGACGGGACCTCACTGACAATGATAGGGGAATGCGCGCTAATAGAAAGTTTAAGTATCGATCGAGCGAAGTGGGAAAATAGATGAGTCGGAAAATGCACAAATGAGAGAATGCGCGGCTTTCTAAATCGTGTTCACTCGCGATTCGTTGATCGACACGTAGGCTACGTTCACGCTTTGCGTCAGCGTTTTGAACAACCGGAAAAAGTATAGGTATCGATCTAGCGTTTCGAGCGTGCGCCAGCGTTTTGAGTTTCGCGGGTAGTTTTGAGCAGCCGCTAAAAACGCGCTCAGAAAGCTAGATGTATCCTATCTAGTCGCTCAAAACGCTGCCGTACGTTGGCATAAGCTGAAAGCGCTTTCGAAAAGTTGAACGCGGCCTCATATTTCCATGAAGCGCATATTGCAGTTTCATTCTCCAGTTTCTCTATTTTGTATTGTCGCAAAGTATGAACGTGCCTGACTCTTAACGGACAGCGGAATCCATGCTGCAGCAGCTCCTATAATTTTTAGAAGACACTTTTTGAGAATTTGTCTCTCTGTACACTTTTTGAGAATTTGTCTCTCTGTATAAGATAATTTTGTTATGTGCAAATATTTAGGCTGGTGCAACGTTGCTAACACTGGCGAAGAATCTTCACGCACTGTCTCTAGCACGAGTAAGAAGAATTATCGTTTCTACTTCTCTTGTACTCTTGAAGCAATTCTTGTGCAACTTTAGGCAGATGCTCAAGGTCGCGTATGCTTGCCTCTAGAGCATGCTACTGTGGAGATAGCGGAAATCGTTGAACAAGATGAAGTACCCCTCAAGAATGCAGTAGAAATCCAAGAAGGTAAGTTAATGCCTTTCGATTTCATAATGATTTATTTATTCAGTGCTATTATTTAATTTTTAATAATTTCCAAGATGACGTTGTGGAGGTGAAACCGGAGCCGATTGAACCTTATGTGGAAGATTTTGTATATAAGGCTACGCATCAGCAGAAGGATGAGTCAAAATCAGCCTCAACGACTAAAACACCGCTTCCCACCAAGCGGGTATGTGCACGAATTTTGAATGTTCCTTTGAGAGAACGGGCAAGTGCTTACGAGCTATTCAAAACCACCTGTTTCTGAAGGCACCGTCTTCGATTTCAAAGTGTGGGTAGAGGGCAAACGGGAGCAAACGAGTACTTGTAACTGAGTTGACAGTGATGGCAAAAGTAAGCAGTCGTCGAAACTATTTCAACTGAGACCCCCTGTTAGCGTACATCTTGCGGGAGCATACGCATCAGCACGCTCAGTGGCGAAGCACCGAGCGTGCTGAAGCCGAGCAAATGTAAACGTGGAGAAAATAAACAGACGAGCCGCAAGATGAGGGCGGAGACTGAATTCTGTGGGCGGGGGCCTGTCTTGTGCGCTGTGCCTGTTACTTCACAGGCAGCGCGCACTAGTCAAGGTAAATCCTAGCTAGCTAGTTGACTAAAGAGACACAATCAGAGAGAGAGAGCTAGTCGACCTGAGACACGCAAACCAGGGAGAGTAGACCCGTCGCAGCACTGTTCCGTTGTGTGGATTGGGTCCTGGTGCGAATACTGCTGTCATCCCGCCTTGCAGAGCCTAATGGGTCGTGCTCACTGTTACGAAGTAACGCTCTACACTCTGGTTGAGGGAGAAAGTGGTATGCGGTGAGGTTGTCCGCACCACTAAGGCTTCACCATTGAAGACTACAAACGACTTGAGTCTTCACAATTAGTCCCCGTGCCCACCCTCAATTACATTCTACTAAGCCGGACAGTTTAGAAGCGTGGACGTCGACCGGGTTCCGCTGTTACTCCGAGCCGAAGGAAACCAAAAGCTCAAGACGCTACCGATGATCCAAAGATTCTCACAGGTTTGACCCCAAGCACATTCACTGCAGTACTGATTACATTGTAATGTTTAAGTGGTAGATGTGGTCGACGGTAAACCAGTGAGACCTCGTCGTACCAGAGCACCGGCAAGGAACAAGCTCGTCATTGTTGGCGGAGATGATTCGGCAAGCGATGTATAGGCATGTTATGAGCTGCATCGTGTAAATTATATTCTTGTTTCACCTACTAGCCGGTTCTTTTCTTGCTTGTGTATATTGAGAGACTGTAGATATATTGATTTACTAACATTTATCGCCATGACTTCGCAAAAAAGCGTTCTCTTTTTCTCTCATAATACTAGTAGTTATTCACGAGTCATAACATATCGTTGCCTTCCAATGTGATTTTCTTTGTAATTTCCCCCTCTTATTTCGTATTAATCACACAACATTTATCCGCAAATGGTGTACATTTCAACATGTGACAATATTGATGTTGATCTCATGGGAGATTTTTCAAATAAACTTGTTTATCTACAGTTTACAGGTCCACTCCTTCACCTACCTACGAGTGGATTTTACTCCACAGGTTTGATTCCCGCGGAACCTTTTTAAAGTCTGCGACACGCGCGATCTAGTTGATTTATCGCTGGAATATTGATTTGCGAAAGGATCTGTGATTTGGGAGCAAAAGTGATCATGTGTTCCCACCAGCGCTAATCACTAAATTGCAGGTTTCCGAGCCGCTAATTTAACCCGTGTCGAGGCCGTCACAGGTGCAAACTATGAAGCTACTTGGAGATAGTGGGAGGCAGAGTCAGCTTATCGTTGCTGCGCTGCCGCGCTTTTATCGAGCGCTTTTGAGCCGCGAAAGTGGGGTATCCTCTATGACCACAAGCTCCACCATCTTATACTCCAAAGGATTTCTGCACCTTGGTTGATTGCGAGCGCTGTCTTTGGATGCAAGGTGGACTTTTACATGTGCTAAACGAGCAGGTCCGCAATCGTAAAAGTGACACTATTGCCACTGGAATGTCGCGGCATTAAAGCTGGACGGTTAGAACAGCTGAACTGGTCGTAGGTGCACCGAACACAGCCATGCGTGAGAGGGTGCAAGTAGCTCGGAAGGCTGTAGCCAGGCGTATAGCTGGCCGTATGGCGTGACTGTACCGTGCGTATCGCGTACCAACTAGCAGACACATGTCAATAGCACATGTCAACAGCTTCGTCGCCACTCAATGCCAAGCAGCGAAAATTGTACCCTTCTACGGCTATCGACCTATTCCAGTAGTCCAGTCTCGGGCGGTCATACCGTATGCCTCTAAGCAGGAAGTGAAAAAGCAAGTATGCAATGCTAGGACTGAAGTCCTGGCATTGTGGACTTGCTTTCGACTCATCACTGATGACAGAAGAAGGCATCTCCGAGCCACGGTGGTATCTTATAGGTGAGGGTTCGTGGAGATGTTCGGCTTGGGAGGGGCATTTCACAGTTCCAATAGTTCCCTTTGCTTTCTCGTATTAATTCATGGTCTCATTTCAGTGAAACCTGTGAACTTTTATGGAGTGGAAACATGAGCTTCTTTGGCTGCAGAATATCACAGTCGTCCACAAGGCGGTCGCGTGCAGGCTTCGCTTCCTACAATCTGGTAACAATGACCTGAGCCGGACTGGTGTCCCCACAAAGCCGAACCGAACAGCTCGTGCAATTATTGGCACGAGTTAAAGGCACGCTCCGCGATAAACTAAGGCCATAACCTCTGGAGTTCTAAATAGGGCATTTCGGATGGCTTTCTCCGTTTTTTTTCCATAATTAGTTACATAGCACTTTATCGCTGGTAG